CCAGGTCTGATCTAGGGCAGCCTTTTTACTCGCTCAGATAATCCACGGTATTGGGGCGCATCTTGGGGCGTTTCTTGCCACTCTAGAGCCCCCATTTTTGCTGCCTCGGGCCTCGCCTAGCAGCACAACGATCCACTTGACATGCACCTCACGGCGCAAAGGGATCCGTCATGATGAGCTGCGTTTGCAACTCTTAGGATGCCCCTTTCTTGCCCAGCCAAGTGCTCAACCATGGTTCCCAGCTGCCAAGTGTCTGATCGCCTGCTTCCGCCTAAATGTCACCCCTCCCATCGGGACAATATTGTCTAACAATTGCTGAATTGCCATGGCACCAAAGAGTTTCATTTGGAGTGTAGAAGATGTATTTGGCTGCACGATTATGGCCCCGCACTTTGTGCCAACCGCCTTGGTTGCAGGCATGCTTTATAGGCAAAGTCAACTCAAAAGTCAAGGAATAGGGCGGGGGAGAGCAGCACGGGTTGTTTTATTGGCCGCTGTGAAATGGCGGCTGGGAATGTATTCTCTTTAGATTCCAATGAACCAATCACCAACTCTGCTTTGCTCAGGCAAAATAGGAAGCTGATGGCTACCTCATTGCCTTGTTTTGTAAAAAATGATGATGATGATGATGATGATGATGATGATGATGAAATGGCGGCTGGTGAATTTTTATGGGCATATCATTTGAAAACTTTTGTGTTGTGCACAGGTGGTGGTCAGCAGCTTGTGGCATCACGGTTTTGCCACCATGGGGCAACGAGCATTCTGGTCAGCATCAAAGTGGCGATGTGGAGCAGTGCGGGTTGGGTTGATGGCCACTGTGACGTGGTTACTTGGGGTTAGGCAGTTATTGACACTTTCTAGTGCGGCAAATACATAATGTTATTAAGAGCTTCCTGGTTCCAACGCGCCTTTAAATGCCCAATTCCGTTAGGAAACGGCAAAGTTATGGCCTCCTAAAATTGTAGCACATAGGGGCAGAGGGGCGGGTGTTAGATGCTTGGAATTAGAGGACAATTGGTCGATCGAAGGTGAACAATGGATGGTGACGATGTGTCTGGACGCGCACTATGTTGTCTTGTCTTGATATGATAGTGATGGACCCACGATCAGGCATCGTGCATGCGGATATGTGTGCGCACATACTGTGAAACGTGTAACCGTTCTGACCCATTCTCTGACCTCCTGCGAGCCAGCGAGCCACCGCCTCGCTGCGCTGCCACCTCTCACCGATAGTGGGCCCTGGGGATCGATCCCCATCAAGCATTGGGCCCACCACGTGACCACAGGAGTGACTGCCCCGGATATGCCCACCGTCCGAGGTGGAGAGAGCCGGCTGTCCTCCAACAGCCAAGCTACAGGCTTACCCTATCAGGGTAGGGCGACCCCAACGCCTCCGGAAATTAGCGGCTATTGACAGGGCCGCAACAGCCACCTTGAAGTGGCAACGTTCAAATGAGTGGTGTGGCTATTGAAAATTGTGAGTTGTTGGTGGGCGTCACCATATTTGTGTTGCATTTTCACAAGCGCCATGGGTTGTTGAGCTTTGCGTTGGTGGTGGCCAGCAGCGCAGGTTGGCTAGGTTGCTAGCTTGAAGTGGCAGCATGGGAAAACTTTGAAATTTTTATGATGTGCACATGGTCAGGTGTTCACAAGCAAGAGTTGTCAGCCGCCTGGGTGCAGAGAAGAAAGGCGATGGTGGCATTGGGAAAGGCCAGATAGCTGCATTCAACAGTGGTATTAAAGTTGGCATGCAATTGAAGTCGACCAAGTTGTGGTTCGATAGTTTGTAAACGTGAAGGTTGTCAAACATTCTCTTGTGATGCATGTCCTAGCGAGGACCACATGGGGGCTGCGTGCAAAAGAGCGCGAAAACCCAACAGAAGATGTTACAAAGTATGCTCCGTGGACACTTAGCTTGCGAATCAGCGTACATCATGTTTAATTCGTGGCGATGCGGGGGAGTAGGTAACCCCACGTGGGGGTATTGAAGTGGGTTTGATGGAAGTAATGATGGGGACAATCAGGGTATGAAAAGGGGCGGTCGTGGTGGTGGCAGCGCCACCCCTTTTCCTGTTGCCATGGGGTGGTGCTGCGAACTGTGCGCGAATGGATGCAATCGTGTGGCCAGTCTGAAGTGTAAGAGCTGCAAATTGTGACTGAGCGCCAGGCAGCGATTGGCCTTGCCTGTCGTGGGAATGTACAGGACGCGAGGAGCGCCGTACCACGAGCAGGAGGGCGAAAAAGGCACCGGAAGGTGGTGCCGCACGTCCCAAGGGACGTGGGGGTGGGTGCGGGACAGCCCCCCTAGCTGTGAAGTGACTTGTTTTGTTTGTGAGTGTATGTTTGCGACCTGCCTGGGTGTCGACGGGTGTGTGCACTACTTTGACGGTCCTGTTCGTATATTTTTGTTTGTGGCTGGAATGATAAGCAGATCTGGGTGGGATCTGTAGACATCTGTTTTGTGATTTTGCAAATCTTGACCAGTACTTTGCATTTTCGTGTTATTTCTGTTGTGAGCGGACTGTTGGTGAGAGAACTGGTCAGGAATACTGCTGAAGATGAACAGTGGCATGTTTTGAGTATTCATGTGGTTTTGTGAATCGTTGCATGTGTTCATAGTAATCTGATGATCATTAACACTTGAAGTTCTTTTACTATCATTGGCTGCAAAACGCAGCCTAAGTGAGGTGTATTTGAAATCTGTCTAGCAGCATTTCCATTGTCCTAGTAGGGAGAATTATACAAACAATACTATTTAGTCATAGGGCGCCTTTATTCATTCCTGCCAGCTGACTCAGCCATTAAACAAAATGGCTAGGCAGCAGTATCAAACTCCCATTGAAAATGACCACGACCGTCAAGCTGAGCTTGCTCTTCGCTTCACGACACAAACCAATGTACAAAATTTCAAAAAGATTCACGTGATCCTCAAACAGAACTCAGTCTGTACGAGAAGGGCGGGGTCAAAACAAAATAGCTAGCGGTCTTTGGACGTCCTATGAGTAGGGAGGCTGCACATCAACAGACACTGCACGCCGAGGCGCCCACTTCCAAAGCAAGATTTGGACCTGAGCCCAGCAGGTCCCTTGGCCCCAATTCGAACGCAATCCGTGGACCATGGGCCCCAAGCTCCGAAAGAACGGGGCCACTGGAACTAGCGCACACAAGGTTCCTACCCACGCCACTCCAATCACGCATTCAATCGTTATTGCCAACCACGTCAAACTGCGCTCCCAGTTTTGTGCCGATCTGGTGTTAGCTGGCCATTCCATCGACAAGCATAAGCTTCAATGTGATGCATCAATTTTTGACACATCTGCATGCCATGTCCACTGTCGAAAATGGCATTGGGGATAGTGGCACTAATCGAGGACGATGCTCCACACCACTGCAAAGCCAGCTGTTTGTGGCCGCAAGGCGCTTGAAGCCGGCGCCCGAGCATGAAGGCCGTGCGTGCGAACGACTGACTAGCCCCTCTCGGCGGGCATGCCAATATTCACGGCGCAAAAATGGGTGAACTTGAATCTTTCAAACAAATAGGACTGCTTGGCGCTTGGGTATTCCACTGCTCTCCGGCGGCCACAAGTCAATCAGCGCAACGCAATTAGAAACCAGAGCCTTTTCCCCGCAGGTCGGCCGCCCTGAAAATGGGAAAGACGGAGCAATCTGGTCATGACAACGGTGACTGTTTGCCTCGCTGTCTGTTTCGCCACTGGGGTAGCGGTTGCGGTGGAGGCGGTCTGCGAGCGAGCTTGAGGCAACGGAGTTACAGACAAAACCCAAAAAGCGATGCCCCTGTACGGCCAGGCCATCTATTCTGTCCATGTATCATGATTATGCTATCACCAGAGCTCGTCACCGTCGCCATCTCCTCCTGACAATACCACCATCGCAGGCGACCAGACGTGCCCACGTCTTGCCAGCAACGTCGCCACCCACATATACAAATCGCTTCGGGAAGCTGATCTTTGAAAGGTGTATGCTGCACCGGTTTGGCAACCTGCTCGCTCTTCCACTCTGGCTGTGTCATTTACGGAATGGAGTTGACGACGGGTCTGTGGAACTCTAACAAGACGTTGTGGTGACAGGATGTTGGCACGTGGAATGAATGTGGCTTGGCCGTGAAGGGACATATTTGTTTGGAACTGTCAGTTGCGCTGTTGCCACCAACTCGTTCCCAGATCGCTACCACTAGACAGCTTCCCCAGTATGAGTTCATTGTCGATGTCAAGCTTCGTTACTGGCTTAAAACGACAAATCCGATCTTCACGGACCTCTGAGATTGGGGTTTGCCAGGGCACGGTGAGCGTTGCTTTGTTGTTTAATGTCAAATCTACGGCTGGAACACCAGTGGTTCAAATGAAGCTTCACTTGAGTGGACCCCTTTTTGTGCGGTGAGGTGGAGTGCAATGGAACTGGGTGGGGGTGCAGGAGCGGGAACGTCGCTGGAACACGGTGTATGACCCTCCCACGGCATTGTGCCAAGAAAACCATTACTTTATGCTTGGGAGGCCTTTGCCAACTGCAGTGCTGCTATGGACCTTGCGGCTGCTCAGCACACAAGGATACACAGAAGCGCCTGAGACATTCTGCAGTTTGCAATGCACCTGCAGCGCAGTCGACTGCTCGGAGCTATTCATAAGCAATTACAAGTCGCAAGGCACTCAGGAGTTACAGAGAGTCCGTAAATACAGGGAGCCCCAACGCACAGGCGCAGGTGGTGCAGCTGAGGAAGCCGCCACTCGTGCCAATGAATCCTCTCTCATCGTTTGAAAACGACTCGCACACATTCTGTACACGGGCAACACGCAACTTGCCCCCAAAATAACATGCCCCAAATAGACCAGGCACCAGGACAAGGCCACGGCCACAGCTCTGTGGGCACGATTGACTATCATTGAGGCTCAGTGACCACCATCACTGTGGACAAAACCCATGAATTAGAAAATAAAAGCGGCGCGGGTCACTCGACCAGGCGCTGAAGCAGCAGCAGGGTGTTAGACCTTGCCCTCCACAGCTGCGGCGTGGGCAGTGTCATCCACTTCCTTGCCTGGCTTTTCTTCAGCAGTGGCCAGAGCCTTCAGACCCCGCTGGGAACGCGACTCTGCAGCAAACTTGGCAGAGGCGTTGGCCATGCCCGCAGCGATCTCTTCCTTGGTGTACTCGCCGAGGTAGTAGTCCTCCTCTGTGAAGCCCTCCTTGGGGCCGCAGAACATGCCACCCCACATGGGGAAGTAGACGAGCCACACAAGCAGCGTTACGCCGATGACCATCACACCCATGAAGGAGATGCCCTCATAGGTCTCCAGCCTGTGCAGAAGGGACAGAAGTGTCAGGTGGCAATACGATTAAACTTGGAGAAACTTGCCACTGGCAGTGCCATAGGGAGAACAATGGACAAGTGTACAGACAGAAGAGCAAAGAGTGTCGTTTACCAAATTGCCCACACCTGTTTGGGCTGTTGCCTTGGAAAGAAACAGGTAGTGCACTTTGGCACCGTGCAAACAATTCGGGAAGACCAGTGGCAGCTGTTCACCACGTCCACTGCACGTGGCTGTGAGGAGTTGGGAGAGCTCAGTCACATACAAGGGTGCGGCTACTGGGCCAAGAATGCCACAACACACGCACACCAGCTGACAGCCGCGGAGCGCAGCAGCTGGAAAAAACAGCTGGACAGTCCAGTGGGGGCTGAGGGGAGGATCCACTCACTCGGAGTCCTTGAAAAAGATGGCCTGAGTGACCGATGACCCAGCGTTGCCGCCAGCACCGACGAAACCCGACACAATACCCAGTGCCCTCTTGGAGACGAATGGCACCACGCCGTAGCTGGCGCCCTCCGCCGACTGCACAAAGGTGCTGAAGAGGACCATGGTGACGATGGTGGCGCCCAGTGAGTTGTGCATGAGGCCCATCACCACCGCCAGGCCACCCTCCGCGGTCTGTAGCAGCCACAGCGCCCACAGCCTGCCGCGCATGCCCCACCTCTTGGCCGCCCAGTCGGACGTCAGCCCTCCGATGGACCTCGCAAAGATGTTCATTAGCCCGAACATGGACCCCAGCAGGCCGGACAGGCTGAGCGACAGGTCGAACTGGTCGAAGAAGTACTGCACCACGATGTTGTTCATCGTCAGCTCCACGCCAAAGCAGTAGCCGTAGGTGATTGTCAGCACCCACATCCTGTAGTTCTTCGCGCCGATCCAGAACACCTTGTTGTCCACCTTGTTCATGGCGCCCTTCTTGCGCAGCGCGGAGTAGGTGCCGTCAGGCAGGTCCTGGGTCACCGTCAGGATCAGCGTGCCCACCATAATGTGCATGCACCCGGGGACGAAGAAGGCGTAGCGCCACGCCGTGAAGGGCTCCTGGCTCGTCTTGATAGCGGCGAAGATCAGTGGCATCACGATCTGGGTCACGCCTCCGCCCAGGTTGCCCCAGCCGGCGCCTGTGGCGTTCACGGTGCCGACGATCTTGACGTTGAACATGACGGACGACCAGAACTGGCAGGCCACGAAGGTGGCCAGCGACAGGCCGATCACGAACCGGCAGGCGATGTAGCCCGCAGGGTTGGTCACCAGCGCCATGCTGAAGACGGCCGGGGCGCTGAGGAGCATGAGGAAGGCATGGCCGAAGCGCGGGCCCACGGTGTCGCACACGGTGCCCATGGCGATGCGGGCGGCGATCGTGCCCGTCACGGCGGCGATCCCTGCGTTGGTCAGGTCCTCCTTGTTGAGGTTGAGGTCCTCGCGGAGCACGGGCGCCAGGGCGGCCGGTGCGAACGTGGACAGAAAGGACGTGAAGAAGGACATCCACGAGGCGTGGAAGGCCCTCATGTGCACGCCAGTGAAGAAGTAGGGCCGGAAGATGCACGCCTTGTGCTCCGAGTCCACGGGGAGGAGGAAGTCGGACTCCGCCATGGTGGCGCCTGCGGGCCAGGTGTTTGGGAAGGGGCGTGAGCAGCAGAAAGGTGGGCACAAATCACCGGAGGAGCGATGGAAAAGGGTCACCAGCTTGTCGCACAACGTGCTGAGCGGCCAAGGTGTCCAAAGCAGAGCGGGGAGCGATGAACGCACCCAAGCAATGATTCCAACCGGCGGCACGCACTAGAAAGAGTCGGGGAGCCCGGCGAAAGGCCCCTGGCGCTGACAGAGCAGACATGGGACAAAAGGCAACGGTGCGCAGGCACAGACAAATGCCGAGTGGTTGAGGGTGTCCCAGGCGATCTTTCCAAACAGCGGCGCGCCCCGGAAAGGATCGGGGCGCCTGGCGAAAGGTCCCAAGCGTGGAGAGAGCGCGCAGGGAGCCAAAACGCGGCGGCGCACGGGCAAAGTCTCCGAGCCCGCACCAAAGAACGACAAATCAACCGGGCGACCGCCGCGCCAACTCCCAGGCAAGCGACTGGAAACAAGATCCCGCCGCCGGCCCAACCCCCATGCTGCCTCCATCCCACCGCAGTGGGCAGCCCCGATACGACAGCCCCTCGACGTCCCCCACTCCAACACACAGGCGGCATCATCGATCGGCACAGACACAGGCACACAATGATTCCCACCTGGCTCTTGTCCGGCCTGGGCGGCACGGCTGCGGGCAGCGCGCGGCGGCGTTCCGTCGGTGCCATCCCTCTGGTGGTGGCGCGGGCGTAAATAGTGCGGGCCAGGCGCCAGGGCCCAGCCGCGAGAGCCACCCGCGGATTGGCGGCCCCCAGGGATGATTGAAGGGGGCAAGGACCCCAGGGGAAGGCCAGGGCGGGGTGGACGCCGGCGTCAGGTCGGGCCACGTGGATGGCCCGGCCGATTGTCATCCGTGCTGATAGGGTCAAGTCACCCTTCGCGTACGGCCTATTTCTGGGCCGCAAAATGGGACCTTTTCAAGGGTGCGGCCTCGGGGGGGCGGGCGTCTGGCGGACGGGGCTTGGCGCGGCGTGGCGCCCTTTTCGCCGTCTTTTGGCGTTCGGCCTGCCCATTAAAGGGGCGCCAGGGGGAAAGGGCGGGCGCGGCCACGCGCCTTTATTTTGCTGTCTGTTGCTGTTTGGCCGGACCGTCAGAGGGGTGGCGGGGAAGACCGAGGATGCAGTTAGTGGCGGGTTTGATGAAGGGCTGGAGAGTCAAGGGTTGTGCAGCCCCATCGAGGCACAATGTTCCGGAGACAGACCATGAGCATGGTCATGGAGACGGAGACGGAGACGAGTTGAGATTGGGCGTTTTTTTTTGGGGGGGGGGGAGAGGTCACGGTTTTAGGGTTTCTCGGCATGGTTGTAGAAGACACAATGTCAATTTTGGTACACTTGAAGTAGCTATTGTCCTGGCAGTGCTATTTGGCTATTTACATATAACTGCACACGTGCCAAAAAACCATCGTTAGAGCATCTTTATCGGTCGGTGCTATTGCACCGGCGGAGCTATCCAGGAGCAGTTCTCATAGGCTGCCGTGCTACCTTACTAAGGCAACATTTGCCAAATAACACCGGTGCTGTTGCTCCCCTGCGCGCATCCGCAATGGTGGGTGCCATGCCTATGCCGATTAGCATCACGGTAGCACTACAATGTTCTGTGCTAATAGCACCGTTGCTATCCTGGGGTGCTATTCAGCTCCAAGCGGAGCTATTCGGGGCCAAAATAGCGCCGCACGGCACCAAATAGCTCCGGGGGTGCTGTTGGGGAGCTATTGCTCCCCAACCGTTAATGATGGTTTTTGACGTGCGGTGCTATTCGGATTACCGAATAGCTCTGCTGGGGCAAAGCACCCACCAATAAAGATGTTCTAATGATGGATTTTTGACATGCGGTGCTATTTGGATAGCAAAACAGCTCCACCGGGACAATAGCACCCACCGATAAAAGATGCTCTTAATGGTTGGGGAGCAGCAACACCCCAATACCATCACCAATGCTATTTGGTGCCAAGCGGTGCTATTGGGGCTAGAATAGCACTGCTCGAAGCCAAATTGCACCCTGGAATACCACCTGATGCTATTCGCCCAGAATATTGTAGTGCTACTATGATTCAGCGTAAGTAGCAATAGCACTGGTGCTATTTGGCAAATGCCGCCCTAATAAGGTGGCACGTCAACCAATGAGAACCGTTCCTGGATTGCTACTTCGGTGCAATAGCAATGAACGATAACAAAGCTCTTAGCATCAACTTGATGTTAAGCCCAATCAATGCCATAGTAGGGTGTTTGTGGCTTGCTGCAGGATTTTGCTAAGTGACAATTCGGCCAAGCGATATGTAGGCCGGACATTGTATCCTGGGTCGAAGCCCGTATACTGCTGCCATACAGTTTGTCCTTTTGCGAATGACACCCGTTGATGCACTATGGCAAGGAAACAAGTGTGGAACGGCTCTGTATGCATGGTGCCTGGTCGATCAGGTCAGATCGTCGATAATTACCCCCAACCGATTTGATATGAGTGGGTTTTAGAATGGCATCCACAGGCAAACTGCCTGTCGGGTTATTGGTTTTTCACCATTTTGACCAAGTTGGGCCCATAATCTGCCGATTTGTAGCCCAACGGTTGAGTCCAATGAAATCGTGTGACCACAGTCATGTGGGGAATTTTTATCAGCCAATATAAATGTCATCCTTGAATAGTAGTCGCTCTTTCTGGATGTTCCATTTGTATTTTCTAGTTCATTTAACTGGGTTTCGGGAAATAAAACTGCACATTGTGAAATTCAAAGAGAAAAGTGAAAACAGAATTGTGGGTCTGACTTAACAAATTACACCTTAACAGTCATTCCAATGCGTGAGTGAGAGCGTGAAAGTACTGCCGTCACCTGACTCGGTGAAAACACATGTCCTGCTATCAGACCAAGCCTTGCACCACTGGAAAACACCATTTCTGCGATGCCAATTGCAATACAACTGCACACCAATTGATGCCACAGCTGCTATTGCAATGGCAGAAAAGTAGTTGTGGTGGCATTAGTAAGTGTCAAAACAGCATCGCAGTCAACATCACGAATATGGTGATGCAGGAGCTTCGTTGCTCCCGCGGGCGCACAGGTCGGATGAAACGGGGAGTCGGAATCCCCGGGCGGTTACTACATTTGTACATTATATAAGATTGTTTTTTAATTGCTCCGTGCATTGTCCCATGTCCTTTGTAACCACCCCAGAGCCAGTTTACCCAACTCAGACCCATTTAGGGTAATCAAATACATCTAATTCATCTACCAAAGCAACCGTATCAATTCTCCCCCCCCCCCACCAAGTGTGGCCGTCCTCGGCCACAAGACCAACAACCCAGAAAACCAGCAAGAAAGAAGATACGGCGTACCCAACAGAAATCCACAGTAAGTCAGACTAGCCGTGTCCCGTACCACGATCCAACTCACAATGAACCCCTGCTATCCATATGTCCATGCAGTCCATCACTTCTTTCGGTGACTCTGTCTGGTCTTCTTGATTGCTTCTTGTCGTTGTAGCCTGAGGAGGTATTCTGCAACGAGGTCCGAACAATGCGTGAGGTTGGCCTCTGGCTCCCAGGTTGCTTCATGAAGCTCATAGCCTTTCCAGGCTACCAAGTACTGTCTTTTAGAAGTGCTGCCACGATGTTTGATGATCGCCTCATCCTCAAACTCTTGCTCGCCCTCTACCTCTAGTGACTCCGGAGGCAAAATGACGGTGTGCTGAAACGTCTCACTACGCTCATACTTCTTCAGCTTCTCGACATGGAAGGTCGGATGAATGCGCCAGTTGGATGGTAGCTGGAGAGTGTATGCAACTGGGGAAACTGCCTTCACCACCTGAAAAGGTCCAATGTAACGATGCTTGATCTTCACTGGAATATGCTTGAAAGCTGTGGAGGGCAAAAATGTTGTTCTCACCACAACTTCATCTCCAGGCTGAAATTGTACATCACGACGACGCTTGTTGGCAGTTGTAACCATCCTCTCTTGTGCCTTCTCATAATGCTTCACGGCACTGGACACCACCTTCTGCATCCGACTGACCATAGCATCCACTGACTCTACCCTCGTGTCAACAGTCTTCTCGGTCATGAGTCCCACTGGAGCCTGTACATGCTGCCCATACATCAAATAAAACGGGCTGTATCCGGTCGCTACGTTGATAGTATTCCTCACTGCAAATTCTGCCAAAGGAAGGTAGGTACTCCACTCCTCTGGATGCTCTTCAACGTATGGCCTCAAGAAATTCTCCAGCGTGCGTATGGAGACCTCGGACTGACCATCTGTCTCCGGATGGTACGCGGTGGACATGCGCAATTTGGTGCCAAGAAGTCTGAAAAGCTCCTGCCAGAACTTACTCAAAAATCTGGGGTCCCTATCACTGATGATAGCGCGAGGTAGACCTGAAATCTTGAAGACATTATCAAAAAACAGCCTCGCGTACCCCACTGCATTCAACTCTTTCCGGCAAGGAACAAAGATGACAAACTTGGTGAGTCGATCCACAAATACTGCAACAGCTGTATGTCCATGTGATTCAGGTAAATCCGTCACAAGATCAGTGGTAATCTGTTCCCACTTAGCTGTTGGAACTGGAATCGCCTGCCGAAGTCCTTTTGGTGCTTGATTCTCTGACTTGAACATCTGGCACTTCGGGCAAGTTCTGATGTAGTCCCTCACTGACTGACGAATCCCCTTCCACCAGTAAACTCGCTGCAACATCTCCACAGTCCTCTCAACACCCAAGTGTCCGGCTGTCGGTACATCATGGTGCTCCTCAAGAATATGCTGCTGCTGACTGGTGGGAACAACAATCCTGCGCTCGTTCCCTGCTGCCTGGTAGTATAAAATCCCATGCTGATCTACTGAGTAACCCCTCACAACCTGTCCCATGGTGAGCTTCACCAACACATCACGAGTACCTGCATCTGTGTTCAGTGAATGCAACCATGCCTCTCGTTCTGAATCTTCAACACAAGGTACTGCTGCAGACTGAACTCTGGCA